TTGGATAGTTAATATGACCATGTGAAGTTTTTTCTGTGATATTTTGCAAAACTGATTACGTAATTTCATGTAAAAAAATATCATGGCAAAAAAATTCACATGATCATATGAAATGTCGAATAAAATATACTTCAAATCATTTTATTATATTAATTATTGTGGGAAATAATGCTATGTAGGAATTTTGAAACATTTTTTTAGTTTTTTTTTTAGAGTTAGATTAGAATTTGGGTTAGAGTTTATAATGAAAAAGTATATATGTGGGTTTTAGTAGGTTTATATTTGTAAATTGAAACCCCAGATTCCCAGCATCACCCCGACAATTATTTTAATAAAAATTAGTTATTAATTATTGGAATCAAAATAGCAAAATAAGTTCAAAATCAAAAAAGCATCAGTATATAATACTCTTCAAATCATTTTATTGTATTAATCATTTTATTCAGCTTGCACTAGTATGCTGAAGTTGATACCAATAAATATATTTTAAATTATAATCTGCAAATTTTTATATACTTAGCCTTCGTAAATTAATATTATCCAACCATACTTCGCTTACGCCCTCTTAAGCGAACTAGAATAATCAAAATTATTACATACATAAACTTACAAAATAGTCATTAAAATGGAATTAGTAATTACCTTCAGCTAGTTTACTTAAAATATCTTTGGAAGCCTTATAATTACTTTTATATGTTTCCAATATTGCTGCAAACTATATAATAAAAATAATCAACAAAAATAATACTATCTTGTAATAAATTTTTCAAAACATTACCATAGCCTCCGAATTTGGATGTGTGCTCAAAAAGGTTTTTTCAAGTACATATAAATCAACAGCTTTATCCTCTGGTAATGATGATATGTAACTTAATCCAAAATCAATAACAACCTAAATTTTAATAAAATTTAATTCTTTGTCTTAATTGTATTCATTAAAATTTATAAAAAGTATGAAATACTAAACCAATGAATTGTTAGATTCCCTTAACAAAAGATTTGATGTTGTCAAATCGCCATGTATAACATCAGCTGCATGCATTTTCGATAATGCTATACCAATCTTCTTTGTAAGTTGTTCTATAAAACAAAAAAACGTAAGTAAAGAAAATTTCTATAAAATTAATATTATAAACAACCTTCATGTTTACTGCTAGACCACTCTCCAATCTCAGTAATTAAATCTTTGAGAGTTTTTCCTTTGACAAATTCCATATATATTGCATTATTTTCTATATCAACAAAATATAGTATAGGAGTATCGACACCAGACCGATAGCATTTGAAAAGACATCTTGCTTCCTTTACAAAAATAAATTAATAAACATTATTTAAAAAACAAAAGGTTCCACAGTCATGGACAACTGAAGATTACTTGAAGGACTCGTCGTGTAGTGAGCTTATTGTCAAGAATTGGATGACGATAGGTTTTGGGAAATCGTTCTTTGATAATTGCAGTTCGCGTTAGGAAAGTCGCTGTGTACACACGCTTTTTTTTTGTTTATATAGAATATATTGATTGATAATTACAACAAAATAAAAAAATAAGCGAATTAGATTTTTACTGCTTCAGCTCCTTGCTTTATCAATGCCGCATTTTCGATCATATTTGTTTTTTTTTTCTGAATAGCTCGCTTAGTGGAGGTTTGATTTTATTGGCTACAAATATGTAACCTGCAGATCCAAGTGTATCGTTTAACCATTTAACCGTTTAACTCAGCCGGCGTTAAAATAATGATTTCGATCTAAATACATAGCAGAACTAGGATTGAGGTACATAAACACTACACCTGATATGTAATTTTACATACGTACGTTCAAAAAATTAAAAGATCGATTTATTAAGCAGTGGTAATCGTCCAATAAAAAAATCGCAAGTGTCGATTGTTATATGAAAGACACCTTGAACCCCCACACACGGGGACATGTCCATTGACTTATAAAGTAATTTTATTGTGAACAGAGTTTACTAAGTAAAATTTACCAACTTACAGGGCCCGTTTTGATTAATATACTATCTTATAAAATTGAACCGTAAACCAATAAAAAATTTGTAATATAATCAATCACATTCAAATACCCAAAAAAATAACAGCAAATAAGTATGAACATGAGATGTTATTACTACAAAATCATATCTATAGTTCTCTGAAAACGAATACTATTTAGTAAATACAGGGCAATCTAAATGAAGTCTATTGTCTTTATCCCTAAAATTAAACGGATACAGATAATTAAAATTCCTATTTAAATGAATAAAAAACAAGTAAAAAAAACAAATCAGTATAGATCAGTGGACTAATAAAATTTTATATTAATGAATCAATTTGCATACCCAATCCGCATCAACTATGTCCATAGCCCACTTGAATTTGTCACGTAAGCTCTTATTGAAAATCTTCTCATAAGGCACTTTGTATTTTAAACACCAAGCAGCAGAAATACGAGGGTCAATGTAATTGATCTTGGATGTACCTAATGCAGTAGTCTTATTTGATTCTTTGTCATCCTTTAAAAGTTTTGTCTCTTTGATTTTTGCATTCAAAGTTTGAATTTTTTCTTCCGCTTTCTCCACAGTTAAGCCTTTTTTAGGTTCGACTTTACCAGAAATGCGTTCTCTTTCCAGTTCTTTCTCCTTTTGATCAACTTCATGAAGCAAAGCTTTCAATTCTTTTTCAGACTTTGGCTTTTGTTTTTCTTCTTTTAACTTTTCATTGTCTTTTTCAAATTTTTTACGAACTCTCTCACGTTCTTTCTCCATCAATTGTTTTTCATATTCAATAATCCATTCTTCATCAAGATCAGATTCTTCCTCAAGAAGTTCGGATCGTTTCTTTCTTAACTTTGGCTCCAAGGCTAATATGGCTTTTTTAAGTTTCATTCGTTGATATTTGAAAGCTTTTATCTAATATCGAATAAAAATATTATTATTTATTAAGCCAATTATATAAAATTTTTTTTTCTTAAAACTTTACCTTATCCTCAATCTTGCTCATTTGATTTCCATGAGCTTTACTAACAGAACGTTGATGATTGCAAAGAATAGCTACTTGACGATTTGCTTGATTATAAGCGAATATCTTTTCGGCTACCGAACTATCTTCTTGAGTTAAATCATTTAACTGTGTCTGAAAAGTGTGCGACGCATTATACGTACGAAACACTTTGGCTGTAAGTCCTTTCATATATGAAGACAGATGCTTATTTAACTCCTGAGTCTAATAAATAAAATTTATGGATTATAAGCTGCAAATTATGAAGGATAACTTAATGTGAAAATTAAAATAAAGCCAACTCACATTTACTCGATCAAATATTAGGTCTTCTGGTTCATCCTTTCCTTTCATAAATATTGAAAGATTTCTGAAAACTTGGTCTTCAACCTCTACAGTGTTGATATATCTAATAGAATCTTTACCCAAGAAATCAAATCTAACTGTGTTTGGAGGGATGAGTGTTACGTGTTCAGGACGAAGGGAGCAACATCCAACGGTATCAGCTTCTTCATTAGTGTCTTTTTCATTACCAGCTCTGAGAGCCAGACGATCAATCAGATACATAGCTGTAGCCATTTGGCGTGTAGCAGTGTTCTTATGTCGGAGATTTGCTTGATAATCGTTCCGAATCTTACCGATGTGTTTCTAAATATAAATGACGGAATTGAAATAAAATCTCAAAATGTGATTAATAATAAATGTGATAAATGCCAGACTTAGAAAATTTTGTTCACCTTTAACTCCCGTGCTTTTTCAAATTTTTTCATGTCGCTTAGACCCTTTAAAGAGCTATTAGCAGCCAAGAAAACATATTTAATGTTATCATTGACATTCTCCTTCCAGGTCGCTAACCAAGTAACTGTGGGATCATGGATGACACCTGCCCATTTATGACCCGCTGGTGGTGATGGAATTTTGGCACCTTTACCAATATTAATTGTTACCTGTTCGGGCTGAACTCGAAACTAACATAATATATGAAATGAATTAACAATAGTAAAAATCTTGAAATTGGATGACAGTATACCTTCCTTACCTTCAAAGATCCGGTTTTAGGATGTGCACCGCGCCCTCTGAATAAACCAGGCGGCTCAATACGAAAATTGCCAACTTTCTCTTTACGTCCATCTAACAAACAATATCCGTATTTTTCTTCCAATTTTATTTTTTCTTCTTTTAACTTTGCCTTTTCCTCTTTTGACATATTTTTTTTTCGTTCTTTTTCTTGCTCAAAATATTCAAAAATCGGGGTGAAATCACATTTTTCAAAATCTTTGATTGGGTGATTCTGAAAATTTATATATTCATATATATTAATATTTTTCAATCCATGCTGATGAAAGCCAAAAATCAATTTAATATACAATTTACATTCTTAGATTTCTTTAAGACTTTTTGCCAGTCCTTAAAGAAATTTTTATTAAATGTCTCGTTAGTGACGTAATCTGTACCCAACATAGCAGCATAGAAGCTGGCCACTTCCTCAGCTTCAGGTTCAAGAGTAATCTCCTTGCCTATTAGTTCGTCAAGTCGCAGAAGATTCATGACTAATTTGAAAAGAATTATTGTAAATGCTTAACTATGCTAAACGTATTACTCACCATCATATTTCATTTTGACGTTATGAGGAACATACGGCGGAGGGAAGTATACACCATTGTGTTCCAATGTAGTCCATTTATCGCTTCCGTCATTGTTGTCATTTTGTTGATTCCACCATTTAAATTCTTCATCATCTTCATTATCGGAATCTTCCTCCTTTACTTTTTGTTTCCCTCGTTTCTTTGCAGACATACTTTCTTCTGGTGAATCTTCCTTTTTCTTTTTGCGTTGTGAGTCGGGCATTTTGGCATTTGCTACATTTTTGGAAGTAGTCTTAATAGTTGGTTTTTTAATATCAACTTCGGAGTCTGAATCATTGCGTTTTCTTTTGGCCTTCAAATTATTACGATATGCAGGTTTATGGTTAAATTTTTTAAATGACTAAATATACGCAATGCTACAGTTCTGATATATGTTTTTTTATTATCGGTTATATACCTTTCCTTCCTTTCCTTGTGATTTTACCTCTTCCTTAACTTCAGTTCCTTTGTTTGTGCTTGTTTTTGCCTTATTTGCCGCGGTTTTACCCTTTCCAGACATTAATTTAGCCAGTGGAACATCACTCTCTGAATCTTCCGATTCTTCTTTAATTATAGCCGTTTTTTTTCCATTTGTTTTGCCCTTTTTTTTAACAATTGGAATGCCTTCATCAGATACGGGTACTTTCATATCGATATCCTCCGTAGTTCGAGAAGCTATAGCTTTTTTAATTGATTTTTTGGAACCATTCTTTGCTGCTGTATTCTTGCCGTCATATTCCGAGACGCAGAGTCTACAGGATCCGAAAGTGATGTTCCTCTCGCTCGCAGGAAGTCTACATTAAATGGAAAAAAAAGAGGCACAACAAATGGACAAAAGACGGCTGTAAAACAAGAGGAGAAATCCGATTCTGACGATCATTCGAAAGTACCCGGCCGCAGGAAAATTCATATAGTGGCCTCTGAATCTGAAAACATTTCAGGATCTGATAGCGACGTGCCACTTGCACAGCTGAAAGCGAAAGGCTCAAAATCGGAAGCTAATACTTTGGATAAGGGCAAATCTTTAAGTTCTTCGACGAAAGAACAGGTATAACTAATATTTATAAAAATTATTTTCTAGTTTCTGTAATTTTAAATGACCATATTATTATATAGGGAGATAGCAAAAAGGCAAAAAGGAAGAGGGTAGAATCCAGCGACTCGGA